TAGAAGTTAATAAGCAGTTTGGCACTGTTATTAATAATAAGAAGTTAATAATAGTTGGCAAACAGGGCCTAGCTGGGCTTTAGTTACTCAGAAAGAGTGGGTATAGACACTTAAACTGTCTAATTTATTTTATGCCTTTCAGTAGTGTAGAAATATGCTTTACAGTTTCGTGTAACCATGAAACAGAAACAAAAGTCCTTTCAGTAAACTCTCTGGAAACCAAATTCTTCCCAGATATTTAATGATAAGAAAATACAATCTAAAAATTCTCTGCCCAGCCCCTGGGTGCTGTCCCAGTATCCCATCTGCTCCATGCAGTTGGGTTCCCATTGCTCTTAACTCCAAGATGACTCCCTCAAGCATTGAAGGTCGCCTAGCAGACACCAAAATAGTCATTTACAAAAACCAAGTGGAAAGCATTCTATGTTTTTATCTTTATTCTTCTATTGCAAATATGCACTAAGATAAAAGTTTATAAGAACAAAACAAAACTTCCCATCCTTTTTTCTCTTGGCTAATATAAATTAGTGATGTTATCTTTTTTAATTGGCATTTACTCTAAATGGACTTAGAACAACATTTGTGAAAAGAAGAATTACTAGAGAAAAAAGGCTTCAGATTGAGCTATACTAATTTTTTTGTCCAAATTAGACTTCAAGTCAAAAAAAACAAACTCTAGATCTGTTGTTTAAGTAACTAGTAATCTTATTGTGCACAATTCAGTTGGTATTTGGAAAACATGTAACTGTAGCTTTGCAGAAATATGTTCCCATTCTAATGCAGAAGAAGTTGTACTTAAGAGTTTAACCTGAAAGTTAGTACTCATCAAAATTTAGTTAGTGCTTATTTCATGTTCTGGAAAGATAAAATATCAAAGTCCTATGGAGATGTCTTATTTATATATACAGTATTGCGAAAATCAATGGAATACTCAAAAGAACAAACAGGAATATCCTTTACTTATGAAAAGCAGGATAAAATAAATCTTAAATTAATTGTTATACATTGTTTTGAATGAGAATGGAATGTCCTATCCTAGCAGTTCTAATCATGAATATAGACTTTTCAAGAGTATACCACCTTCTCTGTCTATTTCTAATAGCCAAGTTTTCCCAAACAAAAGTTAATTCTGGAAATTTTTGTGTATTAAAAGGGATTTTTGGCCAGGGGAGGTGCTATTTGAAATTGCCAAAAGATTAAATTGGCATCACTTACAAACAAGCTACTGTACCTTAATATTAAACTAAAAATTTCCTGGTTCACTGGTACAAGGCTAATTTTATCCAGAATGTGTACAAAAAGACAACTGATAGGTAAGGGAAAAAAATGAACAAGATTTCATTAAATGCCATGTAAGTATCTGGTACCACTCCACAAAAGTTGATTAGTGAATAACTTTAATAGAGACATTTTAATCTGATCCTTTAAACTTTTTTGTGGGAGGCTCTCCGGGGCACTGGTGAGGGGATAACTGAAGGGTGGAGATGGAGTGGGGAGAAGATGAAAAGATACACTGATGAAGGAGGAGTAGGAGATGGGGAGTCATACCAGGGATAGACTTCTCAGTTAAGGTCACCTAAAACTTGTAAAAGCTATTGAATTGCTGAAGAGTATCAAAAATGATTAAATTAAAAAAATATCTCTCGTTTTTCCAGTTGTATTTATTCAAACAGTCCTCCCTTTGTGAGGAAATTGTAGGGGGCTGCATGGTAGACAAGCCCTGGAAGTTGTTTCTTATTGGTCTCAATGTAATAGCTGTATCCCTCAAATATTACCAGCATTGTATTGAAATTTTGCAATTAATTAATAATAATGGGTTCTTCTGAAAATATTGAAGGCCAAACAAATATCTTTAAGTTTAATTTAAAAAATTCCTGGAGTTTCTGACAAATTGGTATTACAATTCTGAGATTTATCTTAAGCATGGGTTTGTAATGGACAACTAGAGCTTACTTTTCTCTGTTCACATGAACGTTTCAACAATGTCTTATCCAAAGGGTCTTAGCCCAGGAAAGGAGAGAAAAGGTGATTTGGGCCCACAGGGGAGATTTGGCAATGGCTGGAAACATTTTTGGTTATCAACACTGGGGAGTGCTATTGTAGATGGATAATGGATAGAGGCCAGTGATGTAAACAGCCTCTCACAGCAAAGAATGATCTGGCCCAAAATGTCAATAGTTTTAAGGTTGAGAAATCCTGGTCTAATCCAAACGCTCTAAATATTATTAACAATAATGGTGAAATCAAGAAGTCAATATTATTTTTAATAACCAATTTGCACAAAGGCAGTTTAAAAAAAAGACCCTGCCTGAAGTTGTATATAAATTCTTACAGGGAAAAAATTAACACATTTGTGATGTGAAAAAAAAACTGAAGGGAATAGATTATATATTTTTATTCATAAAAGCATTCACAGTTTCCAATAAACCAGGAAAAAAAAACTTTTTAGACTGCTGAGAAAAGTGAGAAACAAAATAGTTACAAATTATCCTACTCACAAATACTAATCTATTATCGTTTGCTATTTTTGAAATATATTAATATAGCATTTGAAAGTCAGCCCTTTTGTCAGAAACTATGATAATAGCCAAAAGATGAATGTACCAGTATAGATTTATTATGAAACTTTTGAGTTCCCTTGGCTAAGGGCAATTAAAAAAATTTTTTTAAAGCTATTATTGGAGAGTAAACCTGTGGTCTGGGAGATACTTGACTGTGCTCAGCCATTTAATTACAACCCACCTCCTCTCTTCTCCCTTTCCTAATAAGAATAGGATATCATTTGCTGCGGTAATCACTCTGGTTTAAATTCCTTGAGAACCAACAGTAGTTAAGATTTTCTAAGCATTTACTAAAAGAATAAGCAAAATCATTTTTATTGTTCCTCTCAGAAATCTTACATATTAAAATAGTGAAATGGACAGGATTCAAAATTCTCATCAAAATAAGAACCACACACACAGACTCAACCAATGGGGTGAGGAGCTGGTGTTCAATTACAATTTGTCACTGAATGAACAAATGAATCCTCCTTTCTAAAGCTCTATGCTAGATACAACACACCTAGATGGGTTTCTTTTAACTTAGGTTTTAGAAGCACTTTTTTAAACTACCTATCACTTTATAAATGAATCTATAACCTAAGCTGTCCCATGTTAATTTCTCCTTCTTTTTGGCCTGCTAGCACCCTGCCTGAAAAATGAGTCAATTACTTGTGATAACTATTGCAAATCTCTTACTAATCCTTAAGAATGATAAAGAAGAAAGCTCTAATACCAGATTTTTAGCCACTGCTTAAACCTACTCTAGCAACATAGGAATGACTATTCTTCAAAGGAAACATCTTGAAATCTGGGACTACAATTTTAAAGAAATTCATTTTTTACAAAATGTTATTTTGCTGTAAACTCATTTATTTTCCATTTCCTGGTAAGATTTCCTTAAGGATCAATGTCTCCTATTCACACTGATAAACAGCTGTTGGGCAACAACTCTAGCAGAGTCCCAACGCTCAGAGTCAGCCTGCTTGGTGAATGCAGGAGATAGAGAAGTGCAGAAAAACAGTAAACAGAATGTCTAAGTCATCACTTCAGAATTAACTGAACATAAATAAAATTGGGGAAGAAAAGAAAGGGGGCGGTGGGCATGCAGGAACACCCCTGGGAGGGGAAAGGCACTATGCACTTGCAGTTGAACCTCCTAACACTCTATCATACTACAGCACTGTCATCCATATGCAGCAGTAGCAGGTCAACTTTGTATTTAATTATTTGAAATAGTGCTGAATTTTGGCTCCAAAACATTTTTCCAATTCAGATTCTGATTCTTTAAAAAATTTTTATTTTTTTCTAAAATAGTCCTTTTCTTTCAGAAGAAGCAATTCTTCAAATCCACTTCACATAAGGGAATTTGATATGGGCAGTGAGTTCCAAATACACTGTATTCAGCAGCACTTGCTGTGTTTCTACTACGTCTTAGGCTCTGAGCAAGCTGCAGGCTCCCCCTCAAGTCTAGGACCCATTATTTTGCTTCTAGCCAATTTTCACTAAGTCTTTTTCCTCCCCAAACGCACTTAAGTCCACCAGATCTTAAACCCTTTAAGAACACGCCAACTCCTCCATTCTGAAAGCTTTTGAGTGAGTAGTCAGCAGGCCGGTTTATCTATTGCAGTGTGGCTTTATGCTAGGTGTTGTTACATAGTCCCTGCAAGGTAGTTGCAGATGTGAACACACCTTAGAGGTACCTGAAATTCTGAAATAACGTTTGATTGAAGGGACAATTAGGAGTTTTAATTTAGAAGGAAAAAGAAAACAGACTTCTTCTCTGGGTCTGAAGGCGGAGGGAGCTAAGTAACCCAGCTGCATATACTCAGCACGCCTCCAGCAGGCTCACACATTCTGTAGCCCTGGTATCATAGCTGAAGAGCTGTGCTTGCTAGGTTCCCCAGCACTCCTGATCTCACACTGCCACAGCAACACGTTGATTGGAAGCTCAGTGTGTGTGATAGGGACCATGTAAGAGTGTTACGTGAATTAACTCATTTAATTCTCACACGACTACTCTGAAGCTGGTACCATCGCTCCCATTTTACAAGAGGGCAGCTGAGGTTCGAGCACACACAGTACCTGGTAGAGCCAGGTGAAGGCAGAACTTCTGATTCTGTGGCGCCTTCCTAACCACCTAGCTGCCTCCCTCCACTAAGTCCATCGATCCTTGACAACCTGCCAGTTCTTAAGCATCGCAGTTCAAGACGTCCAGTGACGTGACTCCAGAGGTCCTCCTGCCCCTCTGCCGGGTGAAGGCGGGGCCTCGTCCCCGCGGCACGTTTGGCCCACCCGGGAGCAGGATGGTACCTGACTGGGAGGAGAGGCGGGAGCCCCTCCGCCGGCTGCGTCCGGCCCCCGCCCGCCAGGCCTGGCCGCGGGGCGGGGCTCGGTCGGGTCGCGGCGGCGCGCAGGAGCCGGCAGCTGCGAGAGACGGCCGCCCCGGCAGCGTGGGGCGAGGCGAGGCAGGGCGGGGCCGGCGCGACGGGAAGGGGAGGCCGCGCGGGCCCCGCGCCGCGCCGCGCCAGCCCGGCTGCAGCCGCCGCGCACCGAGCGCCGCCATGGGACTGGAGACCGAGAAGGCAGACGTCCAGCTCTTCATGGACGACGACTCCTACAGCCGCCACAGCGGCGTCGACTACGCCGACCCCGAGAAGTTCGCGGACGCGGGCTCGGATCGGGATCCCCACCGGCTCAACTCGCATCTCAAGGTGAAGCTTGGGGCGGGCCCAAGCCATGGCCAGGGGGTGCCGGTCGCCTTCTCCCATCCAGGACCCGAACCCTCCCTTCGCCACTGGGTCACCCCGCGGGGTCCGGGATCCGGAATCCACCCGCCGCGGAGCCACCGACGTAGCCAGGGATTCCTAGCCAAACCCTGACCCCAAAGAAAGGTGGGGCACCCCAGCCGTCTTCCCTTCTCTCTTCCCCCGCGCCGGGTTACCGGGGCAGCCGGCTCGGGGACAGCTCGGATCCCAGGCTCATAATTAGACAGGGATGTAGGACCTGGTTAAGCAGTACTATGGACAGCTCGGGATCCCCGCGCCTTGTCCCCCGCAGGTGGGCTTCGAGGATGTGATCGCAGAGCCCGTGTCCTCGCACTCCTTTGACAAAGTGTGGATTTGCAGCCATGCCCTCTTTGAAATCAGCAAATACGTGATCTACAAGTTCCTGACAGTGTTCCTGGCCATTCCTCTGGCCTTCGCTGCGGGGATTCTCTTTGCCACCCTCAGCTGTCTGCATATCTGGTGAGAGGGGGCACACCGGGGCGGACCGGCTTTCTGAAACATAGGAATGTTCTTTGCCACCTGTCCTCTGCCCTCCCTTTTTCCTAGGCCAGCTTAAAGGGGGAAGTATGCACATACTTGCTGAAGTATTAGCTAGTATGGGAGGCCCTGAAGAGCAGTGTGCTTTCTTAAGAATCATAGGTTGGGAGAGTTTACATAAAAGAAGTAATGTTCCTCTGTCCTGAGGTGTGATTTTCCTTCATGCTAAGTAAGGCCCAGCTGACTTGTGAAAGTGGAGACCTGGAGGCCACGCTTCCTGACACAGGCTGTTCTCTCATAGGGCCTTGTTAGGACTTGTGCCTGTGGTTCTGGGCCAGGCTTATAATTAGACAGGGATGTAGTTAAGCAGTACTATGGAGGTGCTGCTCCAATCCTGCCACCTACAGAAGGCAAGGTTGGGATCAGAGATGTGAGCTGTGTGCAGTTAAAGTGAGGGGCCCCAGCACAAATGAATGAAAAAATTCAAGCTGCAGGATGATGAAATGAGAATGCCTCCAAAGTACTGTTTCCACCTATGAGGCACCATGGGGAATGGCATCAAGTTAAAGGGAAAGTAAATATGGAAGGAAATCTACTGGACACTGATAGGATGTTTTGAGTAACCGTACTCAAACTCAAAATGTATTATCAAATCTCAGAGGGCATGTTTAAGCATTAAAAAATATTTTTAAGGAAAATGGCATGTTTTACCCGGAAGTTTTGTTGCTGTTTTAAAAGATACCCACTTTATTCTGAGATCATTCAGATCATCCCCAGTATCACAACAAGTTGTCAAGCTTGTGCTTTAGGGCAGTCCTGGTGAAACGTATAACCCTAGATGCCTCTGTGTTGTAATCACTTTGTATGGTATTGCCACACCCTAAAACATGCTGTGTTCATCGTTAGAAGTAAGGAAATTATTCTCCACCCCCCTCTACCTTGTGAATCAATTTCTTTCGTCAGTTAGCTAGCCTATTAGTTCAACCAAGAAAATTTATTGAGTGCTTAGTTGATGCTGGGCACTGGGCCCAGGATGAATAAGATGTAGGCTCTGTCTTCAGGTTACAGCACATCAGGGCAGTTGGCTAGGTATAGAAATAGATGCCGAGGGAAACTCAGTTAAATCTCTCAAGGAGGGAAGAGCCACAGGGAAGACTTTATAGAGAGAGAAGTGTCTAAATAGGCTCTTAAAGAATAAAAATTCACTAAATAACTAAAGAACAAACCAAGAACACCAATGTAATTTGATCACTAAAAATTGTGAACAACTAAACTATGTTGAAAGTGCCTAAAGACTGCCAAAAAAGTGAAAATTTTTGCCTTTATATAGGAATAGACCCACAAAGGCCAGTTAGCTCATATTCTGACATTACCACATGAATTCTTTTAAAAGAGACCTAAGCACATAAAATTTTTTATTCCTAATCAACTAAAACTAATTATCTAACCTCTGTGTCAGTTTCACTTTCAAAAAAATGAAAAACCTCAGTGACCCCATAGCATATTATGAAATGTTGGCTATGAAGCTATTTAGAAATACAGAGTGCCATATTTATAGTCAACAAAGCGAGGCTTTCCTCAAGTGCTTGTGGAAGAATTGAAAACAAAAAGGTTTTCATTTACTAAATAGTGGAAATTATATAAGTAAAACCAATGATGTTCTTTCCACCTGGCTCTCCTGAGAACAGAAGGGATTTTTTGTGTAATGCTGCCAATGGTGGATCACCAAGTCACTGCTTTCTCAGCCACATAAAAGGTATTATTTAACTTCAGCATGTTTCCAAATTACATTCATGTGGGACATTAATATTTAACCATTATACATTTGTCATATGGCAGCTGTGATTACAAGTAGAGGAGTAACTTCAAACAAAATGCTTAAGTTAGTTTATACCTTGATGAAATAGATTTATTATTAATGGATTACATTCCTATTACATTATAAGACTGGATCAAGGAGAAGCTTTATAGAGGAGCAAACCTATTTGAGTAATAAGCCTCTTCCTTCTGTTCTTTGTTCTTTTTGTTAGAGGGGTTGTTTATTGTTTTATCAAGTAGTTGGTGACCAAAACTCTGAAAATATGCAGTGATAGATATTCGAACCACATCATATCATCACAACAGATCTGAATTTAGGTTCCTTAAATTCACCCCTGGGAGGGGAAAGGCACTATGCACTTGCAGTTGAACCTCCTAACACTCTATCATACTACAGCACTGTCATCCATATGCAGCAGTAGCAGGTCAACTTTGTATTTAATTATTTGAAATAGTGCTGAATTTTGGCTCCAAAACATTTTTCCAATTCAGATTCTGATTCTTTAAAAAATTTTTATTTTTTTCTAAAATAGTCCTTTTCTTTCAGAAGAAGCAATTCTTCAAATCCACTTCACATAAGGGAATTTGATATGGGCAGTGAGTTCCAAATACACTGTATTCAGCAGCACTTGCTGTGTTTCTACTACGTCTTAGGCTCTGAGCAAGCTGCAGGCTCCCCCTCAAGTCTAGGACCCATTATTTTGCTTCTAGCCAATTTTCACTAAGTCTTTTTCCTCCCCAAACGCACTTAAGTCCACCAGATCTTAAACCCTTTAAGAACACGCCAACTCCTCCATTCTGAAAGCTTTTGAGTGAGTAGTCAGCAGGCCGGTTTATCTATTGCAGTGTGGCTTTATGCTAGGTGTTGTTACATAGTCCCTGCAAGGTAGTTGCAGATGTGAACACACCTTAGAGGTACCTGAAATTCTGAAATAACGTTTGATTGAAGGGACAATTAGGAGTTTTAATTTAGAAGGAAAAAGAAAACAGACTTCTTCTCTGGGTCTGAAGGCGGAGGGAGCTAAGTAACCCAGCTGCATATACTCAGCACGCCTCCAGCAGGCTCACACATTCTGTAGCCCTGGTATCATAGCTGAAGAGCTGTGCTTGCTAGGTTCCCCAGCACTCCTGATCTCACACTGCCACAGCAACACGTTGATTGGAAGCTCAGTGTGTGTGATAGGGACCATGTAAGAGTGTTACGTGAATTAACTCATTTAATTCTCACACGACTACTCTGAAGCTGGTACCATCGCTCCCATTTTACAAGAGGGCAGCTGAGGTTCGAGCACACACAGTACCTGGTAGAGCCAGGTGAAGGCAGAACTTCTGATTCTGTGGCGCCTTCCTAACCACCTAGCTGCCTCCCTCCACTAAGTCCATCGATCCTTGACAACCTGCCAGTTCTTAAGCATCGCAGTTCAAGACGTCCAGTGACGTGACTCCAGAGGTCCTCCTGCCCCTCTGCCGGGTGAAGGCGGGGCCTCGTCCCCGCGGCACGTTTGGCCCACCCGGGAGCAGGATGGTACCTGACTGGGAGGAGAGGCGGGAGCCCCTCCGCCGGCTGCGTCCGGCCCCCGCCCGCCAGGCCTGGCCGCGGGGCGGGGCTCGGTCGGGTCGCGGCGGCGCGCAGGAGCCGGCAGCTGCGAGAGACGGCCGCCCCGGCAGCGTGGGGCGAGGCGAGGCAGGGCGGGGCCGGCGCGACGGGAAGGGGAGGCCGCGCGGGCCCCGCGCCGCGCCGCGCCAGCCCGGCTGCAGCCGCCGCGCACCGAGCGCCGCCATGGGACTGGAGACCGAGAAGGCAGACGTCCAGCTCTTCATGGACGACGACTCCTACAGCCGCCACAGCGGCGTCGACTACGCCGACCCCGAGAAGTTCGCGGACGCGGGCTCGGATCGGGATCCCCACCGGCTCAACTCGCATCTCAAGGTGAAGCTTGGGGCGGGCCCAAGCCATGGCCAGGGGGTGCCGGTCGCCTTCTCCCATCCAGGACCCGAACCCTCCCTTCGCCACTGGGTCACCCCGCGGGGTCCGGGATCCGGAATCCACCCGCCGCGGAGCCACCGACGTAGCCAGGGATTCCTAGCCAAACCCTGACCCCAAAGAAAGGTGGGGCACCCCAGCCGTCTTCCCTTCTCTCTTCCCCCGCGCCGGGTTACCGGGGCAGCCGGCTCGGGGACAGCTCGGATCCCAGGCTCATAATTAGACAGGGATGTAGGACCTGGTTAAGCAGTACTATGGACAGCTCGGGATCCCCGCGCCTTGTCCCCCGCAGGTGGGCTTCGAGGATGTGATCGCAGAGCCCGTGTCCTCGCACTCCTTTGACAAAGTGTGGATTTGCAGCCATGCCCTCTTTGAAATCAGCAAATACGTGATCTACAAGTTCCTGACAGTGTTCCTGGCCATTCCTCTGGCCTTCGCTGCGGGGATTCTCTTTGCCACCCTCAGCTGTCTGCATATCTGGTGAGAGGGGGCACACCGGGGCGGACCGGCTTTCTGAAACATAGGAATGTTCTTTGCCACCTGTCCTCTGCCCTCCCTTTTTCCTAGGCCAGCTTAAAGGGGGAAGTATGCACATACTTGCTGAAGTATTAGCTAGTATGGGAGGCCCTGAAGAGCAGTGTGCTTTCTTAAGAATCATAGGTTGGGAGAGTTTACATAAAAGAAGTAATGTTCCTCTGTCCTGAGGTGTGATTTTCCTTCATGCTAAGTAAGGCCCAGCTGACTTGTGAAAGTGGAGACCTGGAGGCCACGCTTCCTGACACAGGCTGTTCTCTCATAGGGCCTTGTTAGGACTTGTGCCTGTGGTTCTGGGCCAGGCTTATAATTAGACAGGGATGTAGTTAAGCAGTACTATGGAGGTGCTGCTCCAATCCTGCCACCTACAGAAGGCAAGGTTGGGATCAGAGATGTGAGCTGTGTGCAGTTAAAGTGAGGGGCCCCAGCACAAATGAATGAAAAAATTCAAGCTGCAGGATGATGAAATGAGAATGCCTCCAAAGTACTGTTTCCACCTATGAGGCACCATGGGGAATGGCATCAAGTTAAAGGGAAAGTAAATATGGAAGGAAATCTACTGGACACTGATAGGATGTTTTGAGTAACCGTACTCAAACTCAAAATGTATTATCAAATCTCAGAGGGCATGTTTAAGCATTAAAAAATATTTTTAAGGAAAATGGCATGTTTTACCCGGAAGTTTTGTTGCTGTTTTAAAAGATACCCACTTTATTCTGAGATCATTCAGATCATCCCCAGTATCACAACAAGTTGTCAAGCTTGTGCTTTAGGGCAGTCCTGGTGAAACGTATAACCCTAGATGCCTCTGTGTTGTAATCACTTTGTATGGTATTGCCACACCCTAAAACATGCTGTGTTCATCGTTAGAAGTAAGGAAATTATTCTCCACCCCCCTCTACCTTGTGAATCAATTTCTTTCGTCAGTTAGCTAGCCTATTAGTTCAACCAAGAAAATTTATTGAGTGCTTAGTTGATGCTGGGCACTGGGCCCAGGATGAATAAGATGTAGGCTCTGTCTTCAGGTTACAGCACATCAGGGCAGTTGGCTAGGTATAGAAATAGATGCCGAGGGAAACTCAGTTAAATCTCTCAAGGAGGGAAGAGCCACAGGGAAGACTTTATAGAGAGAGAAGTGTCTAAATAGGCTCTTAAAGAATAAAAATTCACTAAATAACTAAAGAACAAACCAAGAACACCAATGTAATTTGATCACTAAAAATTGTGAACAACTAAACTATGTTGAAAGTGCCTAAAGACTGCCAAAAAAGTGAAAATTTTTGCCTTTATATAGGAATAGACCCACAAAGGCCAGTTAGCTCATATTCTGACATTACCACATGAATTCTTTTAAAAGAGACCTAAGCACATAAAATTTTTTATTCCTAATCAACTAAAACTAATTATCTAACCTCTGTGTCAGTTTCACTTTCAAAAAAATGAAAAACCTCAGTGACCCCATAGCATATTATGAAATGTTGGCTATGAAGCTATTTAGAAATACAGAGTGCCATATTTATAGTCAACAAAGCGAGGCTTTCCTCAAGTGCTTGTGGAAGAATTGAAAACAAAAAGGTTTTCATTTACTAAATAGTGGAAATTATATAAGTAAAACCAATGATGTTCTTTCCACCTGGCTCTCCTGAGAACAGAAGGGATTTTTTGTGTAATGCTGCCAATGGTGGATCACCAAGTCACTGCTTTCTCAGCCACATAAAAGGTATTATTTAACTTCAGCATGTTTCCAAATTACATTCATGTGGGACATTAATATTTAACCATTATACATTTGTCATATGGCAGCTGTGATTACAAGTAGAGGAGTAACTTCAAACAAAATGCTTAAGTTAGTTTATACCTTGATGAAATAGATTTATTATTAATGGATTACATTCCTATTACATTATAAGACTAGATCAAGGAGAAGCTTTATAGAGGAGCAAACCTATTTGAGTAATAAGCCTCTTCCTTCTGTTCTTTGTTCTTTTTGTTAGAGGGGTTGTTTATTGTTTTATCAAGTAGTTGGTGACCAAAACTCTGAAAATATGCAGTGATAGATATTCGAACCACATCATATCATCACAACAGATCTGAATTTAGGTTCCTTAAATAAACAAATAAGAACACTACCACCCAAAATTCAGTCTGGTGATCTTGGATCTTATGCTAGAAGTACAGGTCATTAGAGATCAGTGAATAGGCTTGATTCCATACCACTGATAGCCTCTGCTGGCAACCATAAGGGGATCATACCAAAGAAAGGTGCCTGAGCTCCCTTATCCTAATTTTTGCTGGGATGCAATTCAAATAGATGGTCTTACTGATGGAAATGCAGTAGTAGAAACCTCATTTCTAGAAGATGCTTATAATATAGTAAATTGCTATGATAGTGCAATCTGTATGACACTATAGTTAATACAAAGTTAAAATCTCTGCCCTAAGGGTCTCAGTTTTCCAATAGAGGAATATATAAGTCCATGAGTTATAATATTAAGAAGTGTTTGGTTGGTCACATTGAGCCTCAATTAAGTTTGGGTCACTTCAAACTGCCCAGGGTTTCAGAAGGGAAACTATTCAGGATGTAGAGAATCCAATTTGTTTGATATCAGAGGATGACTAAGATCCAAAGTGCAAGAACAACTTAAAGTTAAAATGACTTCACCATATTCTAGGAACTTAAATCCTCAAATAATGTGGGCACCTATGCTTTGCCAAACTGGAAAGATCCACTTGTGTCCTGTGCTAATTCCCTTTAAGGACATAGAGATCTAAGAAGTTATGGAGATAATTTCTTATCCTAAGTAAGAGTAGAAGGTGTATTATATTCTGATTGAAGTAGATTTGATTAGGAAGCTTTCTGATCTAACTTTAGTCGTGTAGTATATCAATTTGAGATGATTTTGTTATAAGTGTTTTCATTATATATTCTGACTTCAAAATAGTTCTTTTTATTATCCACCGTGATGGCTCATGTAAACATTTCAAGGGTACATAGCGTTATACTGATAGCCAATCTGCAAAATTTCCTGGTGTTACTTTAATTTGTACTTATATGCCCAAGTCCACACACCAAGTGAGAAACATAATGGGATAAGAAGTCTAAAGTTGCTTTCATTTGGGTTTCTATTCAACTGTTTAGCTCTGAAACACCCAGTAATTCAATTTTCTTAAAAAATTCAATCTGTGTAGCCAATATGAATAATTCAGTATCCTAAAAATGTCTCAGTCAATCAGTTAACTGATCTTCCTTTCACTTTGGGCTAAGTGAACAACAAAGCTTTATTTAAGTGACATTTTAATAAAGAAAACCAAGTAAATCAATTTTACTTCCTTGGGGTCCACCCAGGTAATAATAAAATTTTCATTCAGAAAGGCATATGGAAAAAATAATTTCAGGATAGTCTCATGTTGCTTGTCTAAGGGTTCTGATACAATTGCCAGGCTTTTTAAACTATACCACATAGCCTTTTTCAGTGTATGTAATTACTGTGAAAAATTAATAATATAAAGTATAACAGAATACTAAGTTCACTTTAGCTCAAACATTCACTAAGGGTCAAGGATATCCTCACTTAAAAGAGCTTCCATTGTAGTAGGAAACACATAAATATAAGCATTTCTTCATGACACCTTTTGGCAAATTTGAGGATAAGAAGTTTGTTTCAATAATTCAAGAGGCATGAACACTGTGTATCCAACCCCGTCTGACCCAACGGGGAGGGAAATGGATTGAGGCAACAGGAAAGACTCAGGAAGCAGAACCTCGGGTAAATATGAAAAATTAGGCAGGTTAATGTTTAATGGCAGAGATCAGGTAGATAAATTTGCTGTTTATTTTTCGTTTTACTGTTTCAGATAGCATGCTACCAATAGAATATTAGTGTTTATTATCTACATGCCTACTTATTTTTTTAAGCAACGTATATTTACATCTTACCACTATGTGGGTCTCGATTTATTTTTTCAAAGTTCAACCAAATTTAGGTGAATTAGACCATTATTATATCTTTTCATGCACATGCAAAAGTCAGTGGCCTTATTTAGTAACACCAATAATCCTTACACAACTCTCTTCCTCAATTCCAGGATTTTAATGCCTTTTGTAAAGACCTGCCTAATGGTCCTGCCTTCAGTGCAGACAATATGGAAGAGCATGACAGATGTTGTCATTGCCCCGTTGTGTACAAGCATTGGACGCAGCTTCTCTTCTATCAGCTTGCAGCTGAGCCACGACTGAACACTTGGACCCCAAGTCTGGAGATTTGGATACTCTAATATTTCTTTGTTGTTATAACGTAAAAGTACTACTGTTCTGTTCATTTCCCAACTGTTCTAATTAAGAAAACTATTAAACTATTTAGAAATGCTTATTGGCGAATCTTTTTAAATAATGCTTTTCTGATTAATAGCCAGGGATTTCATGTCTGACTTTATAACCAAAATTACTCAGTAGGTTGGCAACACTTAATTTTAAAGGCAGACAGTTTTTGCTTTAGTACAAAACTATATATTTTATAATGATGAATTTATAATGATCAATGGACATTTCTTCCAAATGCTACAATAGTTTTGTGCACAAATGTTCATAAAAGTATGTAATTTCTTCTTGTTTTACTCTGGAAGTAATACTTTTAAAACTACCTTTGCAGATAAAGTCATGGGACTACTTAGAGATAAGGTATACAGAGATCCTAAAAATTACAGTAACAAGCATACAGTGGTAATAGGGGCTATCACATATAATAATACAAATAAATGTGAAAATAGATTCATGAAAACCTGTTCCTTTAAATGAGGTATTGTTAACCTATGGGCCTATTTAATAAGATATTTCATTTTCCTGTATATTTTTTACTTAATGTAAATGTTGCTCTAATCAGATTGCACTCAATCATTTTTATTATATTTGTTATTTTGTTGAACTAATATGCAGAATGAGTAGAGGTATCTCCTATGAAGAACTTCATTGGTGAGACTGCACTGTCTTGATTATGTAAACATATATATCTTCTTTGGGATTAGAATGTAAAAGAGTATTATACAGGCTTTTCTTTCTAACTTTTCTAAACAATATCCTGAAATGTTTTATGACTGATGCTTATCTGGCTGTGACCTTAGAATATCCAAATCTAATTGGTTTTTCCTCTGGGAGATGTTTTTTATCATGTAGTTAGAAATTAAACCTGTATTCTGCATTCCTATTAATGTTTCATTTTACCTTTGATTGGTGCTATTTAATAACATTTTATAACAAAAGCTGTTTCTGACACTTATGTGTAATTTCAACTACAATGATTCATAGAGAGAGCGACTTAGAGGAAAGTTGTAAATTTGCTGAGTCCATGCAACTGAGCTATATATATAAATTGAAAACTAACAAATACAAACTTTCAAGATGTTGTCTAATATGGGTTTTGTTACAAAATAAGGTATTCTTATCATTTTTGAGTGTTAGAGTCCTATTTCAGTGTTATGTCACTGTTTAAAAAATCTCATTATTCCAGAATGATAGACATACAAAAGTTGTCTATAATGTAAGTGGTTACAATTTACACATCTTAAAAGTATATAAATACTCAAATTTCAGAAATACTATCAGAACCTGATTTCACATTCCTTTAAGTAATCTTCTTAGATAACAAATCTTCATTGAATGAAGATTAATTTTACTTTTCCAAATTACTACAACTGATATATACAAAGGATGATTAAACTGGAATACTACTGGGGAATTGAAGCAAATGAATGAATGATTATGTCATGAAGCTCATATCCTTTTGAAGGTAGCTACAGAAGAGAATTTTTTAAAGTGCTGTATGCCATTGTAGCATCCTTTAAAGACTCTCAGGATCGTTACTTACAATAGTACCACTCATTTGGCTGTGTAGGTTTTATCACATTAGTTTAAAAGGTCAATCAGTCTCCTGACTTTATAGTTATACCTTACATTTTAAGTGTTTTTAAAAAATACTTGAATATGTTGATTGGCCCAAAGAATTTGATTAATGAAATATCTAAATAAACCACGAGCTTCTATCTTTTCAAATAACTGTTAGCAACTTTTAAGCCAAAATATATATACATAGTGATATAATGAAATTTATTAACTTCTAACAAGTGATGCATATAATTTCCTTATTTCTGGATAGCACTGATTACTTTTAAAATGAACTTTTATTGAGATTTGCCATTAACTTTTATTTCAAAGATTGAAGTTTAATACCAAGTGGACCCAGGTTTCATATGCAAGCATGCTGGTTCTTTTACTTGGGGAATAGGAGACAGGCAGGTGATGAGGAGACTATCCCAATATCCATAATAAACTTTCTAAAAATCTGTAACATGTGTTCATTGCTTTTATTACATTACATATCAAACTGATCAATGAAGAATCTTTTTTTTAAACTACTTTCCCTTCCCAAAGACTCATAGTAGACAAAAATACATGAGTTATTACTTATTCAGAAATGTATTTGTGAAGAATTGTGAGATCGGTTATTGACTGTTTTGCTTTTCCAGTACGTCAAGAGGTTCTCTACAAATTTTCCTATCATTTGGTGAATAGTATGGAATAGCTTGTTCACAAACCCACCATACTTTATCTTCATGAAATGAAGTCTCTAGCTAGTCCTAAATAAACTGATATTTCTGTTTTCAATTTTTTAATAAGAAAGTAAAACAATATAAATCACATGTACTTGGATACTGTACCATGAGGCCAGACTAGAGTCCAAAGTTATTTTTGGAAAGTGAGTATGTGAAGAGTAGTTGCTGATATTGGCATATATTTTCTTGTCAGTTAATCTAGAAAAATGTCAACCTCTAATACTAAAGCAGGTGTTTCGCTTTTTAAGATGTTCTTTATAGTTTCAAAGAACTGAAAGTTCCTTTTTTCAATAGTCATCCACATTCCCATTAATTTATTTATATGCCTTTCTTGGGAAGCTGTTGAGTGTGGTAAAAAGAGCCCTACCCTCCAGGTCAGGCATCTGGTTTCCAGTCTCAACACCAGCATTACTGAGGGGTGTCACCTACTGCAAGTGGTTTAATGTCAGCATCTCCATTTTTCTTATCTTTAATGAGACTGAACTAAAGGATCTCTCAGGAGCTTCTCATCTCATTGTTTTCTGTGACTTCAGAATTAAGATGTGGCTATCTATACGCAAACCATTCTAACTGTTCAGACCAGGAATTTTTTTAAATCATGAATTTACTATCAGAGAGCTAAATGTGCTATAAATAAAATAGTTAATGTGTTCATTTTTCACCCTTCAGTTGATTGTGAGACTGTATACATGGCTTTGATTCTTCATGACAGGGATTCTTAGACTTTTAACAATTCGGAGTCTTTATTATTGTGCTATTTTCTCCAAAAAATTAACATGTCACTCTATATTTTAAATTAATTAAAATTTATCTTATTTGGAGATTTTTCTAGCAAATCACTACTAAACGACCATAATCAAGGCCAACTTCGTCTTTTGCCTCATTAGTTGCCACAGCCTCCTAACTGGCCTTAGTACCAGCCTTCAGTATGATCTTCTCCAGTCCATCTTCCCCTTTGAAAAACAAAAGTGATCCCCTCAAGATTCCCATGTCACTCCCCTGAGTAAAACTTAATTATATGTGATTGCCCTCACAGTAAAATCCAAACTCCTGAGCCATGTATACCAGGCCTTCACTGCCAACCAGATGTCACCTTAGTAGCTCTCTTCTGCAGCCCTCACTGAAGCATCCCTGCTGCTCTGCTGTCCCAGGCTGTCCCCTTGCCAGCATTACTCTTCTCCTCTTGGCCTGTCGAGCCTCTCCTGTTTCTAAAACTCTTCCACGCAAGTGCCTCTTCTGTGTCTTCCTATTAAATCCTGTGCAAACCCCTATTATCCCTAATAGGGTAAAACTAATAACCCTGTTAACTAACCCCTCTAGACTGCTAGCTAGGTCCCTGAGAACCAAAAAAGAAAAAAAAAAAGAAACATGAGTTCATTTTTGTTTCCTGGGATTCTGAAATGGTGTCCAGCACTTAGTGAGCTCAGGCAATATTTTCCAAATAAATGACTATGTGAATAAATAATTGTAGAAAACCAGGGATGACTGCAGAGCTGGAGTAGGAATCTCATTTCAACTTCACAATTTTCATCATTTGCAAGAAGGATTTGAAAGGTACCGATTCTGTAATATTTTCCTTCTCGCCATTTTCTCACTCAAGAATTAAGTTGGGAAAACTAAAAGGTACGTGCTGCATATTAGGTGTATTTCATCCTTTGGAGTAATGCCTGTTTTTATTTTCAATTCTCTTATCTGAAACTTATTTTTACATCTTCAGGGATAGGAAAGGCTAGCACTTAGATATTTGTTTGCAAACACTTTCTGACATTTTAGAATGTTGATTTTCCTTTTACTATCCTACTTCCCATTTTGAAATGTGTGATACTAAGAGATTGTTTTTATAGAATTTTACATTTCAGAAAACAGTCCTATACATGGTCTCCTTTGAATCCCAGAACAAATTAAATAACAGAGTGGAGAAATCATATAAATAATGGCTCAGTTTCTTTAGCTTGCAACTTTGCCTCTTTAGAATGTTACTTAATATAACAAGAACTTAAAGAATTTTTACTAGGTTACCCATTACTTTAAGAAACAACAAAAAAGTAGGTAGTGCTGCAGTGAAAAATTACAACTACTAATACAGTTTATCTTAAATCAGGATTTGGTATATTTCCTTCCTTCAAAGTACATATATGTGCAGGGAGGACAACGGAAGGGACTGAAGGAGGAGGGGGCAGATGATAGGATATACTAGCTACTTCAGTTATACTTTTTAGGAATAAAAATAATTTGGGCTTCCATAATTTAATCCCAATTTCCTCTCCCTGTCCACCCCCAAATAGCAAAATGAGCAAAAGAAGGCACCCTTTGGTGTATTTTTAAATCATCTTTGTACCCACTTCTTTGCTTCTTTTTTCAAACCAAATCTGAACTGCCACCATTGGAACCTTATACCTTGATGCTTGTTTAACTAAGATGCCCTTGGGTGGGATACCATCTCAATCTATTACTAGTCATCCATTACTTCAGTGTGAATGAATGGTCTGATGAGGAGATAACTGAAAATTACAGAAGGGACTCAAACATGAAGGCCTTGATCTGAGCAACACATGAGAGCACCATACACTGATTAAAAAACATGCCACCAAAGAGAAAAACAGGACAGAAAAGGGAAAACAGGAGGCTCCAACGACACAATCTTCACCCATCACAATTTTGCTTTTGGACACACTTGCCCCAAATCCCTAGTGAAGGGGGCAATGGAAACTGAACAGGGGCAGAGGGAGTTCAAGTTAGATAAAGACTTTTCCTTTTTCCATAAAGGAGAATTGTTTATATCTCATTGAATGAAAAGGGCCCTGGGAGGGAGTATGAGGGCTCTGCTAGATCCAGGTGCCCTCGAGACAACGCAGAAGAGCAAAAGCTAACATGAGAACTGAACTACAATTTGCGTCCATCTGTCTCTCTTCTACCTCACCTTTCTGTACTGTTGACTGTTGTAATGTATCTGTGGCAAAGAAAGGAGACCATGCAGCAGTCAGGGAAATCAGAGGACACCACTTCAACAATTATCCAAAAATAGGACAGAGACACCTCTCTGCCTGTACTTGAACGTGTTAGGTCACTCAGCTAGGCTGCATGGCTGGAGAAGTCATTTTGCCACTTTAGGAAAAGGTAGGGGTGGGGAATGACGAGAGAGAGGAAGAGACATGACTCAGAGTGGGAAACAGCACGTAACCAAGGGCAAATATTTCTCCCAGACCTAAACAGATCAGGAAGAGTTCAGAGCAAAAGGTCATCTTTGGAGCATTCTTTTCTTTCCCCTGCCTCTGGGTAGCTTGTCATCGAGCACCTGCCAGTAACAAAAGGGGAGGGAAGGGCAAGTAAGCAGGACCTGCTTCTCTCACAGAATGGCACACTAGTTCCAGCCAAATGCTGGTTCAGCTAACAGGGACAGGGAAACAAGGAGTCATTTGGAAAGTTGTAGGATAAAGACAGTATTTCCCTGTGAGGCAAGTGGCAGGATTAACATGTTTTTTTTTGTTGTTGTTGTTTTTGTTTTTACTGAGGAGGAAACTAGTTGAAATCCTTCATGTATTTATTTTATCGGTAAGAGAATTCTGATCTCTAGTACAAACAGTAACATGTATAATTGTCAGCATTTATTACCTGCTGGGAATTTATTTACTCTGCACGGTAACCCCATGATGTGGTTCTATTATCATCCCCATTCTTCAGATGAGGAAACAAATGCCTTGCAATTGAGGAATTTTCCCAAGATCACACTGGGAACCAGAATTTGAGCCAAGGGAATCTGACACCAGAATCCAGGCTCTTAATCAATATGGAAATGATATGCTATTTCTAGCATGTGTGCATGGCTCTTCTAACAACCTGTTCTCCCTTCCAGCCAAAATCCTCTGGCTGGTTTATCATTCAGTCTTGTCACCTTTCCTGCTCTGAGAAGCACCTCTCTCCCCCTTTCTCCCATCAGCAGAGTCAGGTCCAAGTCCTCAGTGATGAGAGCTCCCCCAAGCTGATACGTGGGGGTTCCCTGCACCCTCCTCACTCTGCCCCCTTCTAAGCCCTGAGCCCTTCCCAAGCACTATACCCTGCTTTCCTGGACACACCCTTTCCTTCCTTTTATGATCTGTGCTCTAGGTATATACTCTAGCTTAGGTCAGAAAAATATTTTTCAAATACCACTATTCCTATCTTTTGTAAATTTCACAAAATTTCATAAAATTTCATTCTGTTTAACAAAGACTTCCTTAATATGTATCAAAAGCACAAGGGTAATATTTTTTGTTAACACTAGGTACCTGGACACATAAAGTATTAATAATTACAGTGATATTTTATAAATATAAATATAATAATTTATATTTAGACTAAGCATATATTTTTATAGGCAGAGGCCATATTTTGTATCTTTCTCCATTTGGTTGGAAATTTCTGTCCAGTGTGCTCATCTTTTAATAAGCTATCCCATCTCATTGGCAGTTATTTTATCTTGGAAAATCCAGGGAAAACCACATGCAGTATAAATTTATTTTTCTTCTGTAGTATAACTTGCTTATTATAAATGTTTAAAAGCAGAAAAACTGGATTGAAATATACAATCACATTAATGGCTTGGTTTTATGTTGTCATAGTGCTTTTCAGTAGGTTTGTATAATTTATAATTGCAATAACTGTATGTGTAACCATTTCTCTAACATTAGCAGTATTTGTATGCATAGATGTGTATATTTGCATATATAGATATATATAATGCATATATATGTGTAAT